TTTGGTAGTCTCCTTCATTATCGGGTTGATTAGTGTCCGTTTCTTACCATGTGCACATTTCCCCTGCATTTATCGCCCCCCTCAGGGGTCAGTGAGAGGTAACGTCAGGCCAGGATGCTTTTCAGGGCAGCCTGAGCTCAGCAAGGAGTTAGCGCCTCGCCGGGCCCCTGCCCCGAACAATTTTCTGGTCAGTAATTATGAGAGTCGAGTGTGTCTTGTTGATTGCGGAGGTAATCGGAGAGAACAGTGCCTGGATCCTGTCCAGCAGAGGAAGCCATCCGTCCATGAACCTCTCTTCCCTTCTATGTTGGTTCATTCGTGTTCGGAAATAGGAAAGGTGAAAACTGGTGCAATTCTGTGAGGGTGCAGATTGGGGGTCCCTGAATTCGGGGCCTCCGCTGATCTGGGCCGTAGAAGGCGCTCTGAGCTCTCCTACCTTCGGCTGGGACCGGATTACGAGTCCTGTAGATGATGGGTTTCCCGGGTCCTCCATGGCACAATGTCAATGTTCTCTTTGTTCAGTCTAAGCCGGGATCAGTCCAGGTGCCGACCTCCTGCCCTCGATGTGATGAGACATCTGGTAATGATGATGGAGACACGGTGACCTCCATGTTCTGCAGTCACGGGATACAGCATATTACATTGTGTAGACCAGTGAAGGGACTCTTCGGAAGGCAATTACATGGGACTTGTGTGCGTGTTTTATATTTCTATCATTTTATATTTAATCTGGGCAAAAGGGCAAAACTCGGCACCTAAGGCAGCCAATCCTGGTTCAGCATGTATGGACTTCCTTCATGTATGGACTTCCTTCATGTATGGACTTCCTTCATGTATGGATTTCCTTCATGTATGGATTTCCTTCATTAATGTATTTCCTTCATGTATGGATTTCCTTCATGTATGGACTTCCTTCATGTATGGATTTCCTTCATGTATGGATTTCCTTCATGTATGGATTTCCTTCATGTATGGACTTCCTTCATGAATGTATTTCCTTCATGTATGGATTTCCTTCATGTATGGACTTCCTTCATGTATGGACTTCCTTCATGTATGGACTTCCTTCATGTATGGACTTCCTTCATGTAAGTTTTCTCATTGGTTGTGATGTTCTCACTGGATGAGACCCTAATAATTAGTTTCGGTGTTCAGATACTTGCTGATGTGACATCTGTAGGGTCATGTGTTAACATTCGAAGGTCAGATACAAAATTGTGAGTCGTTCTACCTTCAGAAGTACTTGGAACTCTGTTCGGTCATGTTTGTGATTCACATTTATCACAATACATGGACAGATTTCTTTTAAAAAGACAGCCAGCTCTGTTTCTCCATTGGAGCCATCAAATACCCTGCCCTTCTGGGTATAGGGCATATGATCTCCTCCCAGGAGGCATTGCCCCCAACAAGGAGAACATCATGAGCCCTGTGTAAGCTCCAACATGGAGTGGGAGTCACCTCCCGATGGAGGAATGAAATGGTGGAGGAACTCTAGAAGGGTGAATTGGCTCAGGAAGGTGACTATAAGGGGAAGGAGGAGTCAGGTAGGTGAATAGAAGAGGGGTTGGATAGGTTGGACTGGTAAGGGCCTCCTTCACTTTACCCCTTCAGGGCACAGATGGGTTTCTTAAATTCTCTTTGTGCAGTTCAACAGATGAGCTCCTCCTCCCTGAGGTACATGTGACATCATTGGACAGCCCATGGTGTGAGTGATTCCTGGTTTGGATGTACAATGGATGGCCCATGGTGTGGACAGTTCATGGTGTGGACATGCAATGGATGGCCCATGGTGTGGATGTACAATGGATGGTCCATGGTGTGGATGTACAATGGATGGTCCATGCTGTGGACGTACAATGGATGGCCCATGGTGTGGACGTACAATGGATGGTCCATGGTGTGGACGTACAATGGATGGCCCATGGTGTGGACGTACAATGGATGGTCCATGCTGTGGATGTACAATGGATGGCCCATGGTGTGGATGTACAATGGATGGTCCATGGTGTGGATGTACAATGGATGGTCCATGATGTGGATGGTACATCGTATGGACGTACAGTGGGTGGTCCGTGGTGTGGACGTACAATGGGTGGTCCGTGGTGTGGACGTACAGTGGGTGGTCCGTGGTGTGGATGTACAGTGGGTGGTCCATGGTGTGGACGTACAGTGGATGGTGTGGACGTACAGTGGATGGTGTGGACGTACAATGGATGGCCCATGGTGTGGATGTACAGTGGATGGTCCATGGTGTGGACAGTTCATGGTGTGGACGTACAGTGGATGGTGTGGACGTACAGTGGGTGGTCCGTGGTGTGGACGTACAGTGGATGGTCCATGGTGTGGACCGTTCATGGTGTGGATGTACAGTGGATGGTGTGGACGTACAGTGGATGGTGTGGGCGTACAGTGGGTGGTTCATGGTGTGGACAGTTCATGGTGTGGACATACAGTGGATGGTGTGAACATACAGTGGATGGTGTGGACGTACAGTGGGTGGTCCGTGGTGTAGACGTACAGTGGATGGTGTGGCCGTACAGTGGATGGTGTGGCCGTACAGTGGGTGGTCCGTGGTGTGGACGTACAGTGGATGGTGTGGACGTACAGTGGGTGGTCCATGGTGTGGACAGTTCATGGTGTGGACGTACAGTGGATGGTCCATGGTGTGGACAGTTCATGGTGTGGACGTACAGTGGATGGTGTGGATGTACAGTGGGTGGTCCGTGGTGTGGACGTACAGTGGGTGGTGTGGACGTACAGTGGATGGTGTGGACGTACAGTGGGTGGTCCGTGGTGTGGACGTACAGTGGATGGTGTGAACATACAGTGGATGGTGTCAACATACAGTGGATGGTGTGGACGTACAGTGGGTGGTCCGTGGTGTAGACGTACAGTGGATGGTGTGGCCGTACAGTGGATGGTGTGGACGTACAGTGGGTGGTCCGTGGTGTGGCCGTACAGTGGATGGTGTGGACGTACAGTGGGTGGTCCGTGGTGTGGATGTACAGTGGATGGTGTGGACGTACAGTGGATGGTGTGGACGTACAGTGGGTGGTCCGTGGTGTGGACGTACAGTGGATGGTGTGGACGTACAGTGGAATGGTCCGAGGTGTGGACGTACAGTGGATGGTGTGGACGTACAGTGGGTGGTCCATGGTGTGGACGTACAGTGGATGGTCCATGGTGTGGACAGTTCATGGTGTGGACGTACAGTGGATGGTGTGGATGTACAGTGGGTGGTCCGTGGTGTGGACGTACAGTGGGTGGTGTGGACGTACAGTGGATGGTGTGGACGTACAGTGGGTGGTTTGTGGTGTGGATGGTCCATGGTGTGGACAGTTCATGGTGTGGACGTACAGTGGATGGTGTGGACGTACAGTGGGTGGTCCGTGGTGTGGACGTACAGTGGATGGTCCATGGTGTGGACAGTTCATGGTGTGGATGTACAGTGGATGGTGTGGGCGTACAGTGGGTGGTCCATGGTGTGGACAGTTCATGGTGTGGACATACAGTGGATGGTGTGAACATACAGTGGATGGTGTGGACGTACAGTGGGTGGTCCGTGGTGTGGCCGTACAGTGGATGGTGTGGCCGTACAGTGGATGGTGTGGACGTACAGTGGGTGGTCCGTGGTGTGGCCGTACAGTGGATGGTGTGGACGTACAGTGGGTGGTCCGTGGTGTGGACGTACAGTGGATGGTGTGGACGTACAGTGGATGGTCCGTGGTGTGGACGTACAGTGGATGGTGTGGACGTACAGTGGATGGTGTGGACGTACAGTGGGTGGTCCGTGGTGTGGCCGTACAGTGGATGGTGTGGCCGTACAGTGGATGGTGTGGACGTACAGTGGGTGGTCCGTGGTGTGGCCGTACAGTGGATGGTGTGGACGTACAGTGGGTGGTCCGTGGTGTGGACGTACAGTGGATGGTGTGGACGTACAGTGGATGGTCCGTGGTGTGGACGTACAGTGGATGGTGTGGACGTACAGTGGATGGTGTGGATGTACAGTGGTTTGTCCGTGGTGTGGACGTACAGTGGATGGTGTGGACGTACAGTGGATGGTCCGTGGTGTGGACGTACAGTGGATGGTGTGGACGTACAGTGGATGGTCCGTGGTGTGGACGTACAGTGGATGGTGTGGACGTACAGTGGATGGTCCATGGTGTGGACGTACAGTGGATGGTGTGGACGTATAGTGGATGGTCCATGGTGTGGACGTACAGTGGATGGTGTGGATGTACAGTGGTTTGTCCGTGGTGTGGACGTACAGTGGATGGTGTGGACGTACAGTGGATGGTCCGTGGTGTGGACGTACAGTGGATGGTGTGGACGTACAGTGGGTGGTCCGTGGTGTGGACGTACAGTGGATGGTGTGGACGTACAGTGGATGGTCCATGGTGTGGACGTACAGTGGATGGTGTGGACGTATAGTGGATGGTCCATGGTGTGGACGTACAGTGGATGGTGTGGACGTATAGTGGATGGTGTGGACGTACAGTGGATGGTGTGGACGTACAGTGGGTGGTCCGTGGTGTGGACGTACAGTGGATGGTGTGGACGTACAGTGGATGGTCCATGGTGTGGACGTACAGTGGATGGTGTGGACGTATAGTGGATGGTCCATGGTGTGGACGTACAGTGGATGGTGTGGACGTATAGTGGATGGTGTGGACGTATAGTGGATGGTGTGGACGTACAGTGGATGGTGTGGACGTACAGTGGGTGGTCCGTGGTGTGGACGTACAGTGGATGGTGTGGACGTACAGTGGATGGTCCATGGTGTGGACGTACAGTGGATGGTGTGGACGTATAGTGGATGGTGTGGACGTATAGTGGATGGTGTGGACGTACAGTGGATGGTCCATGGTGTGGACGTACAGTGGTTGGTGTGGACGTACAGTGGGTGGTCCATGGTGTGGACGTACAGTGGTTGGTGTGGACGTACAGTGGATGGTGTGGACGCACAGCGATTGATCCCTGCTTCTTCTTCATCTTGGCAGATCATCATTTGGGGTCGGACGGAGAAGTGTCTGAAGGAAGCCACGGAGGAGATCAGGCAGATGGGCACAGACTGCCACTATTTTATCTGTGATGTTGGTAACAGAGAGGAAGTCTACCAGCAAGCCAAATCTGTGCGAGAAAAGGTGAGCTGTGCTCTGCCAATCAGTGACGAGAATCCTGAAGTCTATCGCCGCTCCTCAGATGTGACGGCTGCATTTGTTTTCTTTTTTTAAGGCGAAGAACATTTTCTTCAGGTACAGAAATGACCTGTTGATCCTGCCAGAAATGCTGTGTCCGGGTTGTCACTTCCTGTTATCTCAAACAATGTTCTCCAGGAACTACAAAAACCCTCCTTCCTATGTAATGGAGATAGGAGATGGAGGTGTCCTGTAGTCCTTTTGCAGTTCCCCCCCATAGATACAGTGCAGTGAGGTGAGCGTAGTCACCCTAGGACAGGAAGGGAGTTACTGGCGGGATCACAAGGTGAAAAGTCTAACGTGGCCACCACATGTATGAACGGGCAACCTGCAATGTATGACGATTGTTATTGGGAGAGACATTTGCAGTGTGATTGTACGAACCTTCTGTGCCACGCCGGCCACCATCTCAGGCTGTTTATGGTGACAACCCGTAATACGTGATATCATCCATGATCTCTGCCTCTCCTTCTAGGTTGGTGATGTCACCATCTTGGTGAATAACGCGGCGGTGGTCCACGGGAAGAGTCTGATGGACAGTGATGATGACGCTCTTCTGAAGTCCCAACACATAAATACACTGGGACAGTTCTGGGTAGGTCTTCCTCCCTCCATAGTTTATTCCTAGGGCCCCTTCCATGGAGACCTTCCCAGCAGCAGAACCTAGGGCCCCTTCCATGGAGACCTTCCCAGCAGCAGAACTTAGGGCCCCTTCCGTGGAGACATTCCCAGCAGCAGAACCTAGGGCCCCTTCCGTGGAGACCTTCCCAGCAGCAGAACTTAGGGCCCCTTCCGTGGAGACCTTCCCAGCAGCAGAACCTAGGGCCCCTTCCGTGGAGACCTTCCCAGCAGCAGAACTTAGGGCCCCTTCCATGGAGACCTTCCCAGCAGCAGAACCTAGGGCCCCTTCCATGGAGACCTTACCAGCAGCAGAACCTAGGGCCCCTTCCATGGAGACCTTCCCAGCAGCAGAACCTAGGGCCCCTTCCAGGGAGACCTTCCCAGTAGCAGAACCTAGGGCCCCTTCCATGGAGACCTTCCCAGCAGCAGAACCTAGGGCCCCTTCCAGGGAGACCTTCCCAGCAGCAGAACCTAGGGCCCCTTCCGTGGAGACCTTCCCAGCACCAGAACTTAGGGCCCCTTCCGTGGAGACATTCCCAGCAGCAGAACCTAGGGCCCCTTCCAGGGAGACCTTCCCAGCAGCAGAACTTAGGGCCCCTTCCAGGGAGACCTTCCCAGCAGCAGAACTTAGGGCCCCTTCCATGGAGACCTTCCCAGCAGCAGAACCTAGCAGTCCTGGGGCATGGGAGCCTAAATTCCGGGGAAAGTAGAAATCCTGCCTCGTAGTGGGGCCTCCCCTGCACTGCAAGGGATAAATGTCCGTTAGATCTAGGCCAGGAGTCTCCAAACTGACCACATCCAACCCGCTACAAGAATTCATCTGGCCTATAGCTGGGGTCAGCGGTGTATCCTCAGACTGAGGGTTCAGATCAGTCGGTCTCTGCTTCTGATTGGCATCCTGGTGTATGAGGGGCTCTGATGGGAACCCTGATATATGGGGGATCCATGTTTTATGGGGGACCCTGATATGTAGGAGAGGCTGTAAAGTGGTAGGACGTCTAATGTAAAAGCAGGACTCTGATGGGGACCCTGATGTAAAGGGGGGCTTTGATATGTAAGGGGGGCTCTAAAGTGAATAGAGGGCTTCTCGTGTAAAAGGGGGGCTCTGATGTACGGGGGGGGCGGGACTCTGGGGACCCTTGCGTAAGGGGGGACTCTGATATGTAATGGGGGCTCTAAAGTGATGAGAGGACTTTTGATGTATGGGGGACTCTGATATGTAAGAGGGGCTCTAAAGTGGTAGGAGGGCTTCTGGTGCAAAAGCAGGAGTCTGATTGGGAACTTCTTGCAAGAGTTCTTCCACCCCAAACTGGCTCCTCCATGTCTTTATGGACCTTGCTTTGTGCACTGGTGGGCAGTCATGTTGGAACAGGAAGGGGCCATCCCCAAACTCCTCCCACAAAGTTGGGAGCATGAAATTGTCCAAAATGTCGCCTTAAGAGTTCTCTTCACTGGAACTAGGGGGCCAACCCAACCCCTGAGGAACCCCCCCACACCATAATCCCCCCTCCACCAAACTTTACACTTGGCACAATGCAGTCAGGCAAGTACCGTTCTCCTGGAACCCGCCAAACCCAGACATGTCCATCGGATTGTCAGACAGAGAAACGTGATTGGCCCCTCCAGAGAACATGTCTCCTGTGCTCTAGAGTCCAGTGGTGGCGTGCTTTACACCACGGCATCCGACGCTTTGCATTGCACTTGGTGATGGAAGGCTTGGATGCAGCTGCTCGGCCATGGAAACCCATTCCATGGAGCTCTCTACGCACTGTTGTTGGGCTCATCTGAAGGCCACACCAAGTTTGGAGGTCTTTAGCTATTGACTCTGCAGACAGTTGGTGACTTCTGCGCACTGTGCGCTTCAGCATGCGCTGACCCCGCCCTGTCATGTGACGTGGCCTACCACTTGGTGGCTGAGTGGCTGTTGTTCCCAGTGGCTTCCACTTTGTTATAATCCCACTAACAGTTGAGCGTGGAATATTTAGTAGCCAGGAAATGTCACGGATGGACTTATTGCCCAGGTGGCCACCTATCACGGGACCACGCTTGGAGTCACTGAGCTCCTGAGAACGACCCATTCTTTCACCAATGTTTGTAGAAGCCGTCTGCATGCCTAGGGGCTTGATTGTATACACCTGTGTCCATGGAGGGGATTGGAAAACCTGAATCACATGATATGGAGGGGATTGGAACACCTGAATCACATGATATGGAGGGGATTGGAGCACCTGAATCACATGATAAGGAGGGGATTGGAACACTTGAATCCAATGATTTGGAGGGCTTGCCCAATACTTTTGGCAATATAGTGTATGTAAAGCGCAGTAGGTGGAGTATCGGGGTGACGGCTTAATTGGAGCCCCTAAGGGACACAGGATTCCAGTGAGTCATCCAGACTGCCATCATTTATTTAGGTGGAATGACCCTTAAAGTGGCTTACTCTGCTCCAGTAATTGCACAGTGGAATGTTGGGAGCTATTAGGGGGGGGAAGGGGGGGGGGGGGGGGGGGGGGGGGGGGAAGGTGGGGGGGGGGGGGGGGGAAGGTTTGGAGGGGTGAAAGTCTGAAGGTTGGAGAAGGTGGAGGTTGGAGGGGAGGTGAAGGTGTGGAGGTTGGAGGGGGGGAAGGTGGGGGTTTGGAGAAGGTGAAGGTCTGGAGGTTGTGGAACCTCATTGGTTTAATATGATTTAGGCTAGGCTCCCTGTAGGCGTGGCCTTCACGCTTCACATAGACTCACTCTCCATGCTCCTTTGACATACAATACATAAACATGTCTTCCACACTCCCCATAGACGTGTCCTCCATGCTCCATAATAATGTCCTCCACAATACATAAACATGTCTTCCACACTCCCCATAGACATGTCCTCCATGCTCCATAATAATGTCCTCCACAATACATAAACATGTCTTCCACACTCCCCATAGACGTGTCCTCCATGCTACATAATAATGTCCTCCACAATACATAAACATGTCTTCCACACTCCCCATAGACATGTCCTCCATGCTACATAAAGATGTCCTCCACAATACATAAACATGTCTTCCACACTCCCCATAGACATGTCCTCCATGCTCCATAATAATGTCCTCCACAATACATAAACATGTCTTCCACACTCCCTATAGACGTGTCCTCCATGCTCCATAATAATGTCCTCCACAATACATAAACATGTCTTCCACACTCCCCATAGACGTGTCCTCCATGCTACATAGAGATGTCCTCCACAATGCATTAAGACATCTTCCACACTCCCTATAGACGTGTCCTCCATGCTACATAGAGATGTCCTCCACAATACATAAACATGTCTTCCACACTCCCCATAGACATGTCCTCCATGCTCCATAATAATGTCCTCCACAATACATAAACATGTCTTCCACACTCCCCATAGACATGTCCTCCATGCTACATAAAGATGTCCTCCACAATACATAAACATGTCTTCCACACTCCCCATAGACGTGTCCTCCATGCTACATAGAGATGTCCTCCACAATGCATTAAGACATCTTCCACACTCCCCATAGACGTGTCCTCCATGCTACATAGAGATGTCCTCCACAATGCATTAAGACATCTTCCACACTCCCCATAGACATGTCCTCCACCCTCCATGGCTTCTCATCCATTTACCTTCTCTCACAGGTTCCCCAGCATCTTCCCACCTTTGAAGCCTGAGACGGTGGCCAGGAGGACAGTAGAAGCTGTTCAGAAGAACCACGCTCTCCTATTACTCCCGTGGACAATGCACATCCTTGTTATCTTGAAGAGGTAAATGTCTCCTTGTGCTTTCCTTGAGCTCCAACCAAAATGCTGCAAAAATTAAACCTTTCAGAGTCCAGCCTATCCGGTCACCATTTGGGTGACATCACCAGTGCTAGAGACTTGATGGGCTCAGACCAGAGAATGGCCGATTACACAGAGGGCAGATAGGAGGGAACAGTCAGAGGAAACCCATACTGAGAGGAAGATACTGGCTGCCATTGCTGACCCAAAAATCCACTTCTTGGTCTCTGGCTTTATTACAAGTCATTGAACCAGTACAAGCATGCAGCCAGTGTGGCTAGTACCTGTTATGCATTCTTGTTCCAGAGAAGTAACCCAAGGTGTTGAAGATGTGGGATCAACATGGCAGCCAGCCGACCATAAAGGAGAGTACAGAAATTACGGCCTACATGTTTTGTTTTCCGTTTTGAGATCGATGACCTGAAAAAAGATCTCATGTCTCAGGTTCTTCATAGGACAGTTTGAGCCCTTGACTTTCCTCCACCCCGGGCCCATGTGCCTGCTTTTCCCACCCCCGTGGCTGTAGTAATGCATTCCAGGCGTATTCCCTGCAGAGCCTATCTATAGCTCTGAGTGCTTCCAAATATAGAGGGTTTCCTGGGACAATCGTTGTCTTGGGACACTCAAAGTTTTCTTCTGGTAAATGGGAGAAAAAAAAAATTTGAGATCCGGGCAGAACCAGAGCCAAGACCAACTTTCCCAAAATCCTTCTCGAAGGACAACTGAAGAATATAACCAGACCAGTTATGGTTGGCTGAGAGGAACCAAAAATCCTTCAGTAAACCCAAGAAAAACAGAGAGACTTCTTCATACAAAATGTATCTGACCGCCATGAACAGTAATGGAATTATTCCTCGGTATTGGGGGAAGCCATGCAGACCGTTCCTTTCTGCCCCTCTACAGCCGGAGCCACTGGGTGAGTGCAGATTCCACCTCGTCATCTACACCAGTAGTCTCCAAACTGGGGGCCGGATGTGGTCCTTTGCTTGCCTTTATGCAGCCCTTGGAGCTCCCACTGACACCATTGATGGGGCACCGTTCCTCCTACTGATACCAAGAATGGGGCATTGTCTACTCCCACAGGTCAGTCTGCCCCCCCCCCCCCCAAAGCCTGGAGGACAGTAAACTGGCTCATTGTTTAGAAAGTTTGGAGACCCCTGCTTTAGACATCACTCCAGACTACTGTCGGCATTAAGAAGATATTCCCTGAGGCCACCCCCCCATACTAATAGGAGGGATGAACTCCTCATTTTGGGGGTTGAGTTGGAAGTGACATCTGACCTTCTGACCTAGGAGAGCTCTATTGTGGTGTCAGCAAACCTGCAGCCTCTTCCATAGGTAGACCATACAGGTCATGGGCCATAGATCCACCATACAGGTAATGGGCCATAGATCCACCATACAGGTAATGTGCCATAGATCCACCATACAGGTAATGGGCCATAGATCCACCATACAGGTAATGTGCCATAGATCCACCATACAGGTAATGTGCCATAGATCCACCATACAGGTAATGGGCCATAGATCCACGTACAGGTAATGGGCCATAGATCCACCATACAGGTAATGGGCCATAGATCCACCATAGATCCACCATACAGGTCATGGGCCATAGATCCACCATACAGGTCATGGGCCATAGATCCACCATACAGGTCATGGGCCATAGATCCACCATACAGGTAATGGGCCATAGATCCACCATAGATCCGCCATACAGGTAATGGGCCATAGATCCACGTACAGGTAATGGGCCATAGATCCACCATACAGGTCATGGGCCATAGATCCACCATACAGGTCATGGGCCATAGATCCACGTACAGGTCATGGGCCATAGATCCACGAACAGGTCATGGGCCATAGATCCGCCATACGGGCAATATGTACCTCAAGGCCAATTTCTGCATCTGTTGTCCTGTCATCGCGCTTACATCCTGCATCCTGTCTGTTGAGCACAATTGTCATCTGTAACACAGAAGCATTTTCTTCCCTCTGCACACATGACCTCCGTCTCCATCCCCCGCCCTCTGCACACATGACCTCCGTCTCCATCCACCGCCCTCTGCACACATGACCTCCGTCTCCATCCCCCGCCCTCTGCACACATGACCTCCGTCTCCATCCACCGCCCTCTGCACACACGACCTCCGTCTCCATCCCCCCCCCCCTCTGCACACATGACCTCCGTCTCCATCCACCGCCCTCTGCACACATGACCTCCGTCTCCATCCCCCGCCCTCTGCACGCATGACCTCCGTCTCCATCCGCCGCCCTCTGCACGCATGACCTCCGTCTCCATCCGCCGCCCTCTGCACGCATGACCTCCGTCTCCATCCGCCGCCCTCTGCACGCATGACCTCCGTCTCCATCCGCCGCCCTCTGCACACATGACCTCCGTCTCCATCCACCGCCCTCTGCACGCATGACCTCCGTCTCCATCTGCCGCCCTCTGCACGCATGACCTCCGTCTCCATCCGCCGCCCTCTGCACACATGACCTCCGTCTCCATCCGCCGCCCTCTGCACACATGACCTCCGTCTCCATCCACTTCTCTCTGCACACATGACCTCCGTCTCCATCCCCCGCCCTCTGCACACATGACCTCCGTCTCCATCCCCCGCCCCTCTGCACACATGACCTCCGTCTCCATCCCCCGCCCTCTGCACACATGACCTCCGTCTCCATCCCCCGCCCTCTGCACACATGACCTCGGTCTCCATCCACCGCCCTCTGCACACATGACCTCCGTCTCCATCCCCCGCCCTCTGCACACATGACCTCGGTCTCCATCCACCTCCCTTCGTTCATCTGGCCTCCTCTGTTCTTCTTCCCGCAGTGTCCTCCCTCAGGCAGCACTTGAAGAAATCCACCGGTTCTCCGGCTCCTACACATGTATGAACACCTTCAAAGGACGAACATAGACTCCTCTTCTGCGTGGAGGAAGATTTCAGCAAAGTAAGAGAGACTCCCTGACTGATCCAGACAAGACTGAGGAGTGGCGTCCCTCCAATGAGGCCGAGAAGCCTCAGAAATGAGATGGTGCCTCCAGGAGGCCTCCACGTGTTGTCCTCTTCAGGCCCCGATGATGTCATGGAGGACGAGCAGAGATTCATTTTCTATGTTTTAGTAGTTTTATTGTTTCCATCTGCTGGTGACAACGAATATTCAATGTTTTATTGGACCTCGATGGACGTTGTCCCATTGCATTGTGGGAGCTCCGGCCTCCATGGACTCTTCTGCCAACGAGACGCTAATAGAGGCTGAAACCGTTCGCTGTGTTTCCTCCCATTGTTGTATGGTGTGGACTTCATCCAACCGCGTCCAAAAGGCTCCGCCCCTCAGAAAGTTCTGCCCCTCCCCCTTCCACCCCCATCACACCCCCACAGCCCCATCCCACACACACCCCCCCCACAGCCACACCCCCATCCCACACACAACCCCCCCCACCATCACCCCACAGCCCCATCCCACACCCCACCCACAGCCACACCCCCATCCCACACACACCCCACAGCCACACCCCCATCCCACATCCCACACACACCCCACAGCCACACCCCCATCACACCCCACAGCCACATCCCACACACACCCCACAGCCACACCCCCATCCCCCACACACCCCACAGCCCCATCCCCCCCACACCCCAACAGCCACACCCCCATCCCACACACACCCCACAGCCACACCCCCATCCCACACACACACCCCACAGCCACACCCCCATCCCCCACACAGCCCAACACCCCAACAGCCACACCCCCATCCCACACACACCCCACAGCCACACCCCCATCACACCCACCCCAACGCCCCCACAGCCACACCCCCATCCCACCCACACCCCCCCATCAGCCACACCCCCATCCCACACACACCCCAACACCCACCCACACCACCAGCCCACCCCCCACACCTACCCACACACACCTCATCACACACCCATCACCTTTTGTAGTTTTTAATATTTAAAAATAGAGAGAAAAGCAGGACTTTGCTTCGTTGGGTTTTCTCTGGACTGAAAACAGCCGTCACCCCCCCCCATCCATCGCCCGCCATCCATCGCGTCACTCCCCATCCATCGCCCGCCATCCATCGCGTCACTCCCCATCCATCGCCCGCCATCCATCGCGTCACTCCCCATCCATCGCCCGCCATCCATCGCGTCGCTCCCCATCCATCGCGTCACCCGCCATCGCGTCGCTCCCCATCCATCGCGTCACCCCCCCATCCATCGCGTCGCCCGCCATCCATCGCGTCGCCCCCCATCCATCGCGTCGCCCCCATCCATCGCGTCACCCCCCATCCATCGCGTCGCCCGCCATCCATCGCGTCGCCCCCCATCCATCGCGTCGCCCCCCATCCATCGCGTCACCCGCCATCCATCGCGTCACCCGCCATCCATCGCGTCGCCCCCCATCCATCGCGTCACTCCCCATCCATCGCGTCACCCACCATCCATCGCGTCACTCCCCATCCATCGCGTCACCCGCCATCCATCGCGTCGCTCCCCATCCATCGCATCCATCGCCATCCATCACCCAGAAGTTGCACCCGCCATCCATCGCCATCCATCGCATCACCCGCCATCCATCGCATCACCCGCCATCCATCGCATCACCCGCCATCCATCGCATCACCCGCCATCCATCGCGCCGCCCCGCCATCCATCACCCAGAAGTCGCACCCGCCATCCATCGCATCACCCGCCATCCATCGCCCAGAAGTCGCACCCGCCAATCTGACGTTTAGGAACTTTTTTTTTTTTTTTTGAGATTCTGAAATGAAAATATTTGGAAAATGAAAAGGAGTCTGTGTTCTATCATCATCCTCATCATCCTCATCCTCATCATTCCCGATGACGCCTCAGCCAGTACAGAGGTCATAGGTCATACAGGCACGGTGAGCCGCCCACAGAGCGCCCACTAGAGGCTGACAAACCGCAGGAGGCTCCAGAGCCACACGGAACGTTCTCACCCAATCAGGCCCCATTCACACGGGGGGAGGGGGGGGGCCTTTACACTACGCCGTATGATAGTCCTGACCACTGCACTCTGTGAGCTGTGCTGTACATGACTCTCATGCTGTGCTGCACTTTGCATACTCCTGACTGCTGCACTCCCAGTGTGGAGCCCCATAGATGGTGTAATGAATGGGACTTTGTAGCTCATAGTCCAAGGTAGAGTGTGGTGGTCAGCAGTATTGCATGTGCAGCAAAGCATAGAGCGCGGGGCTCAGGAATATACGGCATATGCTGCATTGTGCAGGGCTCAGGAGTATGCCATGTACACCCATCTTACAGAGCGCAGGGCTCAGGAGTATTCCATGTACACCCATCTTACAGAGCGCAGGGCTCAGGAGTATGCCATGTACACCCATCTTACAGAGCGCAGGGCTCAGGAGTATTCCATGTACACCCATCTTACAGAGCGCAGGGCTCAGGAGTATTCCATGTACACCCATCTTACAGAGCGCAGGGCTCAGGAGTATTCCATGTACACCCATCTTACAGAGCGCAGGGCTCAGGAGTATGCCATGTACACCCATCTTACAGAGCGCAGGGCTCAGGAGTATTCCATGTACATCCATCTTAGAGAGCGCAGGGCTCAGGAGTATGCCATGTACACCCATCTTACAGGGCTCAGGAGTATTCCATGTACACCCATCTTAGAGAGCGCAGGGCTCAGGAGTATGCCATGTACACCCATCTTACAGAGCGCAGGGCTCCGGAGTATGCCATGTACACCCATCTTACAGAGCGCAGAGCTCAGGAGTATGCCATGTACACCCATCTTACAGAGCGCAGGGCTCAGGAGTATGCCATGTACACCCATCTTACAGAGCGCAGAGCTCAGGAGTATTCCATGTACATCCATCTTAGAGAGCGCAGGGCTCAGGAGTATGCCATGTACATCCATCTTAGAGAGCGCAGGGCTCAGGAGTATGCCATGTACACCCATCTTACAGAGCGCAGGGCTCAGGACTATTCCATGTACACCCATCTTACAGAGCGCAGAGCTCAGGAGTATGCCATGTACATCCATCTTACAGAGCGCAGAGCTCAGGAGTATTCCATGTACATCCATCTTACAGAGCGCAGGGCTCAGGAGTATTCCATGTACATCCATCTTACAGAGCGCAGGGCTCAGGAGTATTCCATGTACATCCATCTTAGAGAGCGCAGGGCTCAGGAGTATGCCATGTACACCCATCTTACAGAGCGCAGAGCTCAGGAGTATGCCATGTACATCCATCTTACAGAGCGCAGAGCTCAGGAGTATTCCATGTACATCCATCTTACAGAGCGCAGGGCTCAGGAGTATGCCATGTACATCCATCTTACAGAGTGCAGGGCTCAGGAGTATTCCATGTACATCCATCTTAGAGAGCGCAGGGCTCAGGAGTATGCCATGTACATCCATCTTAGTGCAGGGCTCAGGAGTATTCCATGTACACACCCATCTTACAGAGCGCAGGGCTCAGGAGTATGCCATGTACACCCATCTTACAGAGCGCAGGGCTCAGGAGTATTCCATGTACACCCATCTTACAGAGCGCAGGGCTCAGGAGTATTCCATGTACACCCATCTTACAGAGCGCAGGGCTCAGGAGTATTCCATGTACACCCATCTTACAGAGCGCAGGGCTCAGGAGTATGCCATGTACACCCATCTTACAGAGCGCAGGGCTCAGGAGTATTCCATGTACATCCATCTTAGAGAGCGCAGGGCTCAGGAGTATGCCATGTACACCCATCTTACAGGGCTCAGGAGTATTCCATGTACACCCATCTTAGAGAGCGCAGGGCTCAGGAGTATGCCATGTACACCCATCTTACAGAGCGCAGGGCTCCGGAGTATGCCATGTACACCCATCTTACAGAGCGCAGAGCTCAGGAGTATGCCATGTACACCCATCTTACAGAGCGCAGGGCTCAGGAGTATGCCATGTACACCCATCTTACAGAGCGCAGAGCTCAGGAGTATTCCATGTACATCCATCTTAGAGAGCGCAGGGCTCAGGAGTATGCCATGTACATCCATCTTAGAGAGCGCAGGGCTCAGGAGTATGCCATGTACACCCATCTTACAGAGCGCAGGGCTCAGGACTATTCCATGTACACCCATCTTACAGAGCGCAGAGCTCAGGAGTATGCCATGTACATCCATCTTACAGAGCGCAGAGCTCAGGAGTATTCCATGTACATCCATCTTACAGAGCGCAGGGCTCAGGAGTATTCCATGTACATCCATCTTACAGAGCGCAGGGCTCAGGAGTATTCCATGTACATCCATCTTAGAGAGCGCAGGGCTCAGGAGTATGCCATGTACACCCATCTTACAGAGCGCAGAGCTCAGGAGTATGCCATGTACATCCATCTTACAGAGCGCAGAGCTCAGGAGTATTCCATGTACATCCATCTTACAGAGCGCAGGGCTCAGGAGTATGCCATGTACATCCATCTTACAGAGTGCAGGGCTCAGGAGTATTCCATGTACATCCATCTTAGAGAGCGCAGGGCTCAGGAGTATGCCATGTACATCCATCTTAGTGCAGGGCTCAGGAGTATTCCATGTACACCCATCTTAGAGAGCGCAGGGCTCAGGAGTATTCCATGTACATCCATCTTAGAGAGCGCAGGGCTCAGGAGTATGCCATGTACATCCATCTTACAGAGCGCAGGGCTCAGGAGTATGCCATGTACACCCATCTTACAGAGCGCAGAGCTCAGGAGTATGCCATGTACACCCATCTTACAGAGCGCAGGGCTCAGGAGTATGCCATGTACACCCATCTTACAGAGCGCAGAGCTCAGGAGTATGCCATGTACATCCATCTTACAGAGCGCAGAGCTCAGGAGTATTCCATGTACATCCATCTTACAGAGCGCAGGGCTCAGGAGTATTCCATGTACACCCA